GCTGGTTTTGGGACTTTATGGTTATATGATATCACATGATTATTTGAAACCAAGACGGCGAACGGTTCTGGTATCGGTAGTCGGATTAAAAATCAATTTTTCTCACTTATCCAGCAGGATAAAACGTTAATATTATTAATTTTATGTTTAATCAAACAAAAAGAACACAATTTCAAGTTTTCATGTTTTTCAAACATCCATCTTAGTTACAGATGGACAACATGGGACAGTGTAATCATTCGTATCTCAATCCTCTTTCTGCTTTTGATACTTGTCAAAACATTTTGTGATGATAATACTGTCCCTCACGAAAATGTAGTTTAAGAGAAAACAAGCATTCTGAGAGTACATAGTCCCCTACCGGGTAAAAATTCATTGTATGGGAACAAAATGCTAACTTGATCTATAACTTGTCATGGTGTAACTATATAACAAATATCAAGTCAATATCTTCAAGCATGACAAAATAAAATGCTCCGCTGGGCGCAGCTTGATACGACCGCAGAGGTCAAACCCTGAACAGCTGGGGCAAGTATGGACACAACATTCAAGCTTGATACAGCACTGAATTTGGATTGTGATTAAATATTTGACACAGCATAGGTTTCTGACACAGAATGAATGTGGTCTAAAAACTTAAAAGATTGTAATTTACCTATTCAAACCATATCATTATTATTTGCTTTTATAGATAAATCAGAAATAACCAATTTAAAATGGAAAATTTTAAAGAAACAAAAAGAAAAAAAAAAAAATCCCCCCGCAAATTTTTTGAACCCCCTTATGATTCATCACCCCCAAACTCAATCACAGCCTTCCCTTTGTGGTATGGTACCTTGCAGTACAATTTCAGAGAGATCCATACACTTGAACACAAGTTATTGTCTGGAGACTAAAAAAATGCTTGTTTTTTGGCCCCTTTTCCTAAACATCTAGAACAATTACCCCCAAACTCAAACCCAGCTTTCCCTTTGTGATATGGAACCTTGTAGTACAATTTCATAAAGATCCATACACTTACACACAAGTTATTGTCTGGAAACTAGAAAAATGCTTATTTTTGGCCCCTTTTTGGCCCCTTATTCCTAAACATTTTGGGCAATTACCCCCAAACTCAATTCCAGCCTTCCTTTTGTGATATGGAACCTTGTAGTACAATTTCAGAAAGATCCATAGACTTAAACACAAGTTATTTTCATGAAACTAGAAAAAAACTTGTTTTTTGCCCCTTTTTTGGCCCCTAATTCCTAAAATTTTGAGGCAATTACCCCCAAAATCAATCCAAGTATTCCCTTTGTGATATGGAACCTTGTGGTACAATGTCAGAGAGATCCATACACTAACACACAAGTTATGTCTGGAAGTTACAATAAAATGCTTCGCTGGGCGCAGCTTGATACGACCGCAGTGGTTGAACCCTGAACAGTTGGGGCAAGTATGGACACAACATTCAAGCTTGATACAGCTCTGAATTTGGATTGTGATTTAATATTTGACACAGCATAGGTTTCTGACACAGAGAGAATGTGGTCTAAGAACTTGAATTTTTTAATTTACCTATTATGGTCCAATGTCCAAAATCAAAATACATGGTTAGATTCAGCATATCAAAGAACCCCATATATTCAAATTTTGTTGAAATCAAACAAAGTTTAATTTTGGACCCCAACTTGGACAAACTTGAAAACTGGGCCCATAATAAAAAATCTAGACACATGTTTAGATTCAGCATATCAAAGAACCCCAAGAATTCAATTTTTGTTAAAATCAAACTAAGTTTAATTTTGGACCCTTTGGACCTTAATGTAGACCAATTTAAAAAACGGGACCCAAAATTAAAAATCTAAATACACGGTTAGATTTGGAATATCAAAGAACCCCAATAATTCAATTTTTGATGAAATCAAACAAAGTTTAATTCTGGACCCTTTTGACCTCAATATGAACCAATTTGATAGCGGGGCCCACAAATAAAAAATCTAAATACATGGTTAGATTCAGCATATCAAAGAACCCCATATATTCAATTTTTGTTGAAATCAAACAAAGTTTAATTTTGGACCCCAATTTGGACCAACTTGAAAACTGGGCCAAAAATCAATAAATAGCTGCGCCATGAGCGCATGATACGCCCATCGTCTTGTGTGTGAATTTTTTATGCAATAAGCATAAATAGTTTCTGACATACGGCGTGACATGCGAAAACCCCCTTTTTTATTTTTACAAAAAACTCAATATCTATAAAATAAAATTTTGAATCAAAACCAAAAAGTATACAGATCTTTAGATTAATATAACTAAGAAGTGTGTAAAATTTTAAGCAATAATCATAAATCGTTTTTGAGATACGGCGCGACATGTGAAAACACCCCTTTTAAAAAAAAAATCAATATCTCAAAAATAAAATTTTGAATCAAAACCAAAAAGTATACAGATCTTTAGATTAATATAACTAAGAAGTGTGTAAAATTTTAAGCAATAATCATAAATCATTTTTGAGATATGGCGCGACATGTGGAAAACCCCTCCCCCTTTTTTTACAAAATACTCAATAACTCAAAAATATATTTTGAATCAAAACCAAAAAGTATACAGATCTTAAGGTTAATATAACTAAGAAGTGTGTAAAGTTTTAAGCAATAATCATAAACTGTTTTTGAGATACGGCGCGACATGTGAAAAACCCCTCCCCCTTTTTAACAAAATACTCAATAACTCAAAAATAAAATTTTGAATCATCACCAAAAAGTATACAGATCTTAAGATTAATATAACTAAGAAGTGTGTAAAGTTTTAAGCAATAATCATAAATTGTTTTTGAGATACGGTGCGACATGTGAAAAAAAACACGCACCTGTTTTAGTTACCAAGTCCCGTAACTCAAAAAGTTTTAATCTTATTTTCACCAAAAAGTATACAGATCGTTTGACCATCATAAGAAACAACTATATTAAGTTTCATGAAATTTGGATAAGTCATTCTCAAGTTACGGTGCGACATGTTTACGCCGGACAGACAGACGGACGGACAGACGGACAGACGGACGGACGCCGGACATTTGTATAACATAATACGTCCCGTCAAAAATTTGACGGGCGTATAAAAATCTAAATACATGCTTGACAACGACAACGAAGACGACGACGCCAACGTCATACCAATATACTTTGCGGTCGTATAAAAATGCTTATTTTTGGCCCCTAATTCCTTTACTGTTGGTACCATAACCCCCAAAATCAATCACAACCTTCCTTTTGTGGTATTGAACCTTATGGTAAAATTTCATAGAGATCCATTCACTTAAACTAAAGTTAGAGTGCGAAAACCAATGTGTCTTTGGACGATGACGCCAACGTCATACCAATATACGACCGCAAAATTTTTTTGCAGTCGTATAAAAAGTGTTGAAAACTGATTATTTGAGTGAATTTTCTAAGTCCAAGGATCATAACTCTGCACAAAATCATCAGACAAGAACAAAATTCGAACTTGAAATGTAACTTGTCATAATAAAACAATACACCAAATATCTAAACAATATCTTCAAGCATGAAGAAAAAAAGTGTGGAAAACTGATTTGCCAGACTGACAGATGGACAGACAGACAGACTGAGTGCAAACCTTAAGTCCCCTTGGTCTTCGCCTGTAAGGAACTAGTAAATCTCCTTGAAGTCAAAATGGCTGGTAGCCTTTGAAATTGACAGTTTACACCTGTCAACCTCTGAAACTGAAAATGCAGGTCATGACCTGCATTGAAGAAGAAAATGTCAGGTCATAATGTGTACGAACTTTTTCGGTCCAATTCTAGCATTGAGAGTTTTTTTTTTTTATATGCTATAACATATATATGTACAACTGAATTTCCTAAAAATAATCACTTTTGTATTTGTTAAGTATATCAATATTTATCAAAAAATCCGGAGCACCTGAGATCACCCCCCGTTTTTGGTGGGGTTCGTGTTGCTTAGTCTTTAGTTTTCTATGTTGTGTCATCTGTTCTATTATTTGTCTGTTTGTCTTTTTATTTTTGGCCATGGCGTTGTCAGTTTGTTTTCGATCTATGAGTTTGACTGTCCCTGTGGTATCTTTCGTCCCTCTTTTAAATATCTTTCTAAAGCAATTCCCATTTTATAGGATCATATTAACTATAATTGATTAGCTGGGGTTTATGGCATTAATTAATAAAAAGAAGTAAACTAGTGTGAATAAAACAATAAAAGGGCATTGCTTTAGAAAGATATTTAATTAATGATAAATATTTATATACTTAACAAATACAAAAGTGATTACTTCTAAGAAACTCAGTGGTACATTTATATGTTATAGTATATAAAAAAAACTCTCAATACTAAAATTGGACAGAAAAAGTTTGTAAGCGTTATGACCTGACATTTTCTTCTCCAATGCAGGTCATGACCTGCAATTTCAGTTTCAGAGGTTGACAGGTATGCTTTTATTGTTTTACCTGGGGGTATTTAAAAAATCCTGTGTGAAGGGGGAAATTCTCAGGTGTAACCCGCAGATACGGGTCAGTTGACAGCTATGCACCACTGTCCCAGGTAAGGGGAGGGTTGAGTGTTCACAAACATGTTAACTACGCCATATTCTTTATGTGCCTGTCCCAAGTCTGGAGCCTGAAGTTCAGAGGTTGTCATTGGTTCATGTCTACATATTTTTTTTTGTAAATTGATGTGTTTTAAATGAGGCCGTTGGTTTTCTTGTTTGAATTGTTTTACGTTTTTCATGTCAGGGCCTTTTATACCCATCTATATGGAACAGGTTTTTCTCAATGTTGAAGGCCTCATACATTTGCCTATAATTGCTTACATTCACTTCATTTGAACTCTGGTGGATAGTTGTCTCATTAGCAATCATACCACATTTCCTTATTTTTAAGTAGAACAAATTTATGGTAAACAAATTGAATGACAGTTTAAGGGAAACTGAAGAATAATTCTTTCAAATTACTTAAGACTTAAAATTAAGGACAAGAAGACAAATTTAGAGATAAGAAAGTTTATTTATTATTAAAACAAATAAATTCATAGAAAAAAGTCAATTAATTACAGTTGATTACTATCAAATTTTGTAATTTTGCACTAACTTTCTGTTAAATGTAAAAAGACAGGTTTTGGAGTATTTGCCTATATACTGTCTTATTTTGGATATTAAACTATTTTGCCATTGCGAACCATGTCAGTATTATATGTAAAACTATAGGATCAACGACTACCAGAAATCTCTTTGAAATGACTACACTTTACATAATTATGTCTTGTAAGATATTTTTTTCCCCAAACCAACTGACCAGACTTTTTGACATTAAAAAAATGTGAACCAACAAAATATAAAACCCTGGCCTTATTGGTGGTAACTCATTTTTTTCATTAAAACTATTTAACAAAACATTTTCTTCGGAACTTAAAATCAGTAGCATCATCAGGGAGGACATTCTAAACATTGGAGAGTTCTGTTTATCAGTGTTTGCAGGGGAGGTATTTTTTGGCCACTAGATTTTCCACTCATATATAGAAATAAGAAGATGTGGTATGAGTGCCAATGAGACAACTCTCCATATAAGTCACAATGTGTAAAAAGTAAACAATTATAGGTCAAAGTACGGCCTTCAACACGGAGCCTTGGCTCACACCAAACAGCAAGCCATAAAAGGCCCCAAAATGACTAGAGTAAAACAATTCAAACAGGAAAACCAACGGTTTAATCTATATAAAAAACGAGAAACATTTATGAACCGCATCAACAGACGACAACCAATGAACACAATGATGAACAGGCTCCTGATCACTTAGGACAGGTGCATACAAATGCAGCAGGTTTAAACATTTTAACAGATGTCCAAAATAATTCTTCACATTGAAAACTTTTCAGACCCCAATAGAGAAAATATTGACTGACATAATCATATATTAATATTCTGTCAATTAGATAAACATGACTGTATTTTCCTCCCTGTATTGTGAAGTCTATCTGCTAACACTGATACATCTGTAGTTGTTATTTCTTTTAAGGAGATAACTTCTGGTTTGGCTACATGTGGTGATATTTCAATCTCCATTATACAAAGTAATTCTACCAACTTCTGTTGACAAATTTTGATTCCCTGAAATAAATAAACATTTTAGAAGCATCAGAAGTTACTAGTAATTAGCAAATGGTGTGCTTCTCTATACTCCAGGTGCCAATAGAGTCAGCTGAAATTACCTACTGTAAATTCAAAATTAAATAAAAACATTTTATTGTAAATTTCAGACAACAGATTATAATACAACTTTAACTAGAAAACTGACATTTGTAAGAAACAGTCTCACTTGCACTTCATTGTTTGAGGCACATTGACTGATGCATAAAAGGCAATTCATTTTCACAGGGCTGTCAATTTTCAAAATGTTTACACAGGAATTAATTCAGGATGTGTTCTAAAAAAATATAAGTTCTGTTAACACCTAAGCACTAAGTATTTTGATGGACATTTTCCAAAATGGTGGGCAACAGATAATTTTTGACAAAAGGAAACATTTATTAACAGCAAATTACATGTACACCCTAGCAATAAAAGAACAGAGTTCCAATGTCCTCTGCTTTGCACATATTTTATCTGTCCAAGGTGCAAGGGCAAAGGCAATAAAAAAACTTTTTTGTTCTTAAACAACTTTTTTTAAATATCTAAATGAAATGAAGGTTTGAGAGCAAATGCAATGCAATTTCTAATATAATTAAAGAACCTTTGTGAGCACGCTCACATACCCCACGCCCCCACATTGTCACTGGACAAACAAAATCTCACCAGATTCCTAAGTTCAAAGACTCATAACTCTACAAAAGTCATCTTATAAAAATTTTCTTGTGGATATGCACTTTTACATATTATGTCCTCATTAACTACAAACTTTCATGAAATTCTGTTCTGTGGTTTCAGAGAAGTTGCGATTACAAACTGTTGCAGTAGTATATTTAGGCTTAAATTCGAATTTCAAAGGGTAATAACTCCTAGAAAAAAAATCAATAGTAACTTCCTGTCGATATGCACACCTACATAGTATGTCCTTATTATCTACAACGTTTCATGAAATTCTGTTGTGCGGTTTCAGAGGAGTGTGATGACAAGAACAGGACTGGCCAAAATTCTAAGTTTAAGGGGCATAACTCCTAGAAAAAAAATTGAATTGTAATTTTCTGTCATTATGCACATCTACATAGTATGTTCTTATTATCTACAAAGTTTCATAAAATTCTGTTGTGCAGTTTCAGAGGATTTGCGATGACAAGAACAGGACTGACAGATGAACGGACAGACAGACGGACGTATGAAAAACATTATACCCTTTGCAACTTCGTTGAGTTAATTGAAGAAAAATACAGTTTTAACAACATCTATTCCCAAATTAAATTGCAACATGACATATGAAATTTGAGAAGGCATCTTTTACCCGCATCTAAACTTTCTTTGAAATAGTAGTATCAAATAAAATTCTCCACTAGGCCCGGCTGGATACGACCGCAGAGGTCAAACCCCAAACAGTTGGGGCAAGTATGGACACTACATTCAAGCTTGATACAGCTCTGAATTTGGATTGTGATTATATATTTGACACAGCATAGGTTTCTAACACAGAATGAATGTGGTCAAAGAACTGAAAAATTTAAAATTGGACTTTTACCTATTACATGTATTAAATATCCAAAATCTAAATACATGGTTAGAATAAGCATATCCAATTACATCAAGAATTTAATTTATTTATTTATTGATGGACAAAATTAGCTATGTTTTTATAGGGGTTCACTTCATAAAAAAAATATTCTGCAAATTAATTTATACAGAATAACAAACAAACCTACCACAAAGTTCTTCAAAAAATTTACAATTTTTGTTTTTTAAATTTCCAAAATATCATTCATCATTAATACAATGTCTTTAAAAATCTATAAAACTTCCCTTATTTTTCAAAATATCTAATAATGAACAGTAAATTTCATACTATAATATTTATACATCATTTCTAAAATTAGAATATGGTGTTGATCTATTTTTAACTATGAGTCTACTTTCAATTTCTATCAATTGTGCAATACATCTCTAAATTTGGAATGTGATTAGATATTTCACATAGCATAAGTTTCTGACACAGAACGAATGTGGTCTTAGAACATACAAATTTGAAATTGGACGTATACCTTTTATCAATTTTGGACCCCAATTTCAAAAATCTAAATACATGCTTAGATTCAGCACATCAAAGAACGCCAACCATTAACTCTTTTTTTAAATCAAACAAATGTTAATTCTGGACCCTTTGGACCTTAATGTGGACCAATTTGAAGACAGACCCTAAAATTAAAAATCTAAATACATGGTTAGATTCAGCATATCAAAGAACACAAATAATTCAATTTTTGAAGAAATCAAACAAAGTTTAATTTTGGACCCTTTGAACCTTAATATGGATCAATTCAATAAACAGCTGCGCCATGAGCGCATGATACGCCAGTAGTCTTGTGTGTGAATTTTTATGCAATAAGCATAAATAGTTTCTGACATACGGCGTGACATGCGAAAACCCTCCTTTTTTTTTTTACAAAAAACTCAATATCTCTAAAATAAAATTTTGAATCAAAACCAAAAAGTATACAGATCTTTAGATTAATATAACTAAGAAGTGTGTAAAATTTTAAGCAATAATCATAAATCGTTTTTGAGATACGGTGCTACATGTGAAAACTCCCCTTTTAAAAAAAAAAAAATCAATATCTCAAAAATAAAATTTGAATCAAAACCAAAAAGTATACAGATCTTTAGATTAATATAACTAAGAAGTGTGTAAAATTTTAAGCAATAATCATAAATCGTTTTTGAGATACGGCGCGACATGTGAAAAACCCCTCCCCCTTTTTTTACAAAATACTCAATAACTCAAAAATAAAATTTTGAATCATCACCAAAAAGTATACAGATCTTAAGGTTAATATAACTAAGAAGTGTGTAAAGTTTTAAGCAATAATCATAAACTGTTTTAGAGATACGGCGCGACCTGTGAAAAACCCCTCCCCCGTTTTTAACAAAATACTCAATATCTCTAAAATAAAATTTTGAATCATCACCAAAAAGTATACAGATCTTAAGATTAATATAACTAAGAAGTGTGTAAAGTCTTAAGCAATAATCATAAATTGTTTTTGAGATACGGCGCGACATGTGAAAAAAAACACACACCTGTTTTAGTTACTAAGTCCCGTAACTCAAAAAGTTTTAATCTTATTTTCACCAAAAAGTATACAGATCGTTTGACCATCATAAAAAACAACTATGTTAAGTTTCATGAAATTTGGATAAGTCATTCTCAAATTACCGTGCGACAGTTTTACGCCGTACAGACAGACAGACACCGGACATTTGTATACCATAATACGTCCGGTCAAAAATTGACGGGCGTATAAAAACAGACCCAAAATCCAAACAATAAATACCCAATTAGAATCAGCATATTAAAGAACCCCAAGAATTCAAGACTTTGAATTAAAACCCATTGAAATTGCTTAAGAAATAAGCAATTTAAACAAAGTATTACAAAAGAATTATTTTTGGTCCCTTTTAACTAAACTGTTACGTTCATAACCCCTAAAATCAATCCCAAACTTTATTTTATGGTATAACAGCTTACGGCACAATTAAATAGCAATAAATAGACCTATACTCAAGTTATTGTCCAGAAACAAGAAAATCCTAGTTTTTTGCCCCTTTTCGGCCCTTATAAATCAATCCCACTTTTGAAGTATGGAACCTTGTGGTAAAATTTCATAAACATCCATACTCTTATACACAAATTATTGTCCTGAAACATAAAAATGCTTGTTTTTGGACCCTAATTACTAAACAGCAACGACAATAACCCCCAAAATAAATCCCAACCTTCCTATTGTGGTAAGGATCCTTGTTCTAAAATTCGATAGAGATCCATGCACTTACACTCAAGTTATTGTCTGTGAACCAGACGAATAACTGGTTTTGTTAGGCCCTTTTTGGTCCTTAATTCCTAAACACCTATGACAATAACCCCCAAAATTAATCCCACCCTTCCTCTTGTGGTGTGCAACCTAGTGCTAAAATTTAATAGAGATATATACACTTATACTCAAGTTATTGTCTTAAAACAAGACAAATAAAAGAAACAATTTTTGGCCCCTAATTACAAAACTGCTAGCACAATACCCCCCTAAAACAATCCCAACCATCCTTTAGTGGTATGGAACCTTGTGCTAAAATTTCATAGAGATCCATACACTTATACTCAAGTTAATGTCTGCAATCCAAAATGTCTTCGGACACAGACATCGTCATAACATAATATGGACACGAAAAAAATTTGCGGTCGTAAAAAGATGTGCCTCAAAATTTGTGAATTTAAAACAAAACTATGTTTTTACACCAATATTTTCCCCAATTTGAATAAAAATTCATAAGGGTTCCGCGGAACCCAGTGTCTCGCCTACTTTTGCTGTTAATCGCAGGCTCAACAAAAATGAGGAAAAAAATTAATAAAAATATTCCTCTCTATACTATCTTTTGATTGTAAGTAGCTTCTATCCAAGTTTGGTAAAAATCCAGGATAATTTATGAATCTAATAAATGTTTTAAAAACTTAAACTGCAGAATGTATGTAATGTTGACTGGAAGAAAAACTAAGTCCATTTATAAGTAAAATACGGAAAAAATGGAACAAAATTTTATCAAAAATTTCTTCTAGATACTAGCTTTTGATCATAAACAAGCTTCTGTCCAAGTGTGGTACAAATCCAGGATAGTTTAAGAAAGTTAGTTAAAATTTTAAAAACTTTAACCACAGAGTGAATGTTATGTTAACTGGCAGAAAAACTAAGTCCATTTATAAGTAAAATACGGAAAAAATGGGAATTTTTTTTTTTACAAAATTTACTTCTGGATACTATCTTATGATCATAAACAAGCTTCTTTCCAAGTTTGGTAGAAATCCAGGATAGTTTAAGAAAGTTATTAAAATTTCAAAAACTTTAACCACAGAGTGAATGTAATGTTTCCTGGCAGAAAAACTAAGTCCATTTATAAGTAAAATACGGAAAAAATGG